GTGGGATTTCCCCCTTATGGGACAGAAGAGATGCAGGGTCAGGCCCAGTGTTGGTAAACACACAGGCCCCCCAGCCATTCCTCCTGAGACAGGTGCGCTCTGCCGCAGGGAATCTGCTCCATGCCTCGCTAGTGCAGGAATCCTGGGTAGCTACTGTCTATTTCTCACCCAGATCAAGGGAAAGCCATTCTGTTTTATCTCAGAAAAATCCAAAGAACATTGCAGTGGGATTTCACTGGGGTCCACAACCCTGCGGATCCTGCCCCTCTGCCCAGCTCTGTGTCTGGGCTGTGGCGAACCCACTCAGTCACAGCCAGCAGGAACCCTTCAGGGCCTGGTTGAAGACGCCCACCTTCTAACACAGGATAAGAGCATCTCAGCAAAACCCAGCTAGTGTTGGGCTCTGTATTTAATAGGGGAGAAAAGACTGATTGTGGGAAACCCACTGGCAGGAATGTGTCTGTGGGTTTCCTAAATGTCCACATCTCCTTTCAGTTAGAAAGACTGTAACGTGGTCTGCCCAGGAAGGGGCAGCATTTGTTGATTTGGGAGACTCCAAAAAGCATACATTATTTCATTTAATTCTCAGCCACACCCTAGAAGAGAGAGCCATTCCATTACAAATTAGGAAACTGGGGTCAGAGGTCAGGCCGCTGGCCTGAGCTCAGACACTGAACCCAGTCTCTCTGGCTGCAGGGTCTGTGCCTTTTCATCCGCGTCAACAGAACTTCCTGGTTGTGGAGCCCTGAGCAGCCGCAGGTGTGAGACTGTCCCCACACTTGTCCAGGGGGACAGTGTGGGCTTGGTAAGTGCTGTGTGGAGAAGGCAGGGGCTGCTGCTCACCATACACAGCACTTGGCAAAGGGGTCACTGGCACAAGACAAGTGAAAATCAACGTTTCCCAAGAGGGAACGTCATCGGAATCAAAACAGAGTAGCTTGTGTTAAAAACCCTGACAAAGAGCCAGGAAGGCCGTGAGGGGGTTCTCACAGATGTGTGCCCGATAACAGGAGCTATCAGAGGACTTGGCAGAGCCACAGCCTTGCACAAGAACACTTCTGCAGGACATCTGCCCAGCCTCGGCCTGGCTCGCCCTGTTACTGGTCCTTGTAGCCCAGGATAGTTATCCCAGAACGAGTACGTGATCCTCCTCATTATCACTGTAAATCCCTTTGTCTTCCTTTACCGCCCTGCATACACACGTGGTTTACTGTGGCACGTGGATTCCCACTGTGATACCCTATTCCCAAATATACGTCATGTTCTTCTTGAGAGCCTCTCTCTGCACGTTACCTAGTTGACAACAGCAACACAATTTTTAGTTTTGATGCTGGATTCTCAATCCTAGGAGTTTATCCTAAGGAAATAATTTGACAGAAGGAGATAGTAATTCTGAGATAGGAGGTGCTCAGCTTCCCTGGGCTCAGGTTCCAGGATGCACCTCTGGGTTTCAGGACTCTCCCCGAGGTCTCAGGCCCCTTCTGGAGGCCCCTCCTAGAGGAGAGTAACTGCTGCTTTTAGACCTGTTTTTTTTTTTTTATGTCCTTTTTGAGACTGGCCCCACTGTGCTCAGCCAGTGAGCGCACTGGCCATCCCTATATAGGATCCGAACCCGGGGCGCCACGGCTAGGCCCTAGACCTGTTTTTGACATCAACACAGAGAGATTTAGACATCAGGGGGCTGCTTACGCAAATTCAGTGGCTGGGCATGCTCAGTAAGGAGGAGATATATAACCATGGTAGCCGAGCATGCTCAGTAGAGGGAGTCTATCCTTTGAATGACCTTCCACTAGGGGCGCTGGAGAGCACTCGATATTCTTGAATATGTTCAGTGCCTGTGATAGGATTTGACCAATGAACACGCCCTAAAAGGAGACCAGCTAAGCATGTGCAAGACTATGTTCTGTAACAAGGAGTCACCCTCTTATTTGAATATTCATTAGATAGCATGAATATGCATTAGACAGCGAAACTATAAGAGTTGAACCCTGGCAGAAGGTGGGGCTGGTGCTCACTCCCCTGCAGCCAGCTTGCATTCTGCCTGTGGAATGTGTGTGGCTTTCTGTTGTGTCAAACTCAGCTTCAGCAAGCGGCTGCTCACTCTCTTGAGCTGGCCTGCACTCGGTACTGAACTTGAAGTGTGCATTTCTTACTTTTGTATTAAACTGGGTGCAGGCCCTGCTCAGACTCTAGAGCTAGGCCGCTCTCTCTCTCCGTGAAGTCTGCATCTCTCACTCATTACGTTAAACTGCTCTCACTTTCTACCATGACTCTGCTCTCGGATTCTCTCCTACAGTGGAGTCCAGAGCTGGGTAAGAGGACGGGGTGGGTTGAGGTCAGCTACCGGGCCTCTCCAGACCCTCTCCTCCCACATCAGTTGCGGTACTGTCTGTGATAGAGAAAGGTGTCTAGCAATAGGGGAATGGTTACATGCAAAATCCATGGAATAGTCATTTAAAAGACTGGCTAGTAAAATTACACCTCACCTCCTTCCAGAAAGGTTTAGATCAGCATAAGACCATAGAGGGGCATGTTTGATATGAGAATCTGATGCCCAGGATTCTACCTGTCCTGGAAATGGTATCTTAGGGTTTGGTATCAGAGCTACTATTTCTTTCCAAATTTTCTTTACTGTTGCTACATTGATTTAAAATTTTTGAAATTACCCCCCGATATGCTGTCCCATGGCCCACAGGACTGGCATGAAGATAAGCTCACTTCAGTGTCAGAAACCGCATCGCGGGCTGGCCTCTGCCTGGAGAAGCACCAGCATCCGGTGCCTGGTGAGAGCAGTTCGCGGTGTGTTCTTACTGAAATACACGACCAGTTTCCTGAGTATGTTTAAGGAAACCAACTTTATAACAAGAAATGTGGTGCATTAAGACACGACGTGTCCTGGCCCAGTCCTGTGGTCATCCCACCAGACCCATCCACCTCCCAGGTGGTGAGCACCGCCTCGACATGCAAGGAAGGGGCGTCTGGGCAAACTCCTGCTGGGGACCCCTCTGCAGAAGGAGATGGGGAAAAGGTGTTTCCTCAGAGAGCAATTTTAAGGAAGAAAATTCATTAATTTAGGAATGAAAAGTATGTGTGTGTGTGGTGTGTATGTGTCATGTGCATGTGGTGTGCATGTGTGGTGTGTGTGTATGGGGTGTGCATTGGGTGTGGTGTGTGCGGTGTGTGTGGTGGGGAGGGTGTCACACCTGCAGGAAATGAGACACAGTGACAGGGAGCTTGACCACGGTTGGCAAACACAAGTAGAGGGACCAACCATGAAGATGTCTGAACTGAGTTCTGCAAAATGAAAGTTTACTTTTTAATGTAGAATTTTCCAACCCAGGAAAGCTACTGTGAAGAAAATTAGAAGGTGCTACTTACGATGTGTCGCGCTGCAAACACGCCGTCGACCACAGCACAGCAGAAGGCCGCCACCACGCCGAAGCTGATGAACACGATCGCCGCCACCAGCTGGAAGTGCAGCACAGCAGAGGGGCGTGGGTTTTCAACTTCAACAAAGCCATTTTTCAAATACACACCAGCTAGATGTCAGGATTCC